GTCCACCTATTTTTCAGCCTGCCCCCCTTCTCTCTCTCTCTCTCTCTCTCTTGTTTCTCGTCATCCTTTTTTTCTCTTCCTTTCTTTCGTTCGTTCTTCTGTTCTAAGCGGACAGAACGAGTAGTGGACGTGATGTACCCCACTATGTTGCGAGTCCTGTATATTTTTACATACATATTTTTTGTTTAAAAAGAATTTGAGATTAAATGCATTTTTCATTCAACGGCCTCGGTTTTATTTCAGGCTGTGGTTTCGTTTACCCTTGTTTATTGTTTGTTTAGTGTCGACTTTTTATTTTTTTAAATTTTGGTTCCTTTATTTTAATAACTGCAAGGCCCGCGTTGTACTGTAAATATATATATAGCTGGAAACACCAGCGTATATTGCGTCAGTAACATAATCATCACCACTATTGATCATTGGCACTGCGCATAGAGAAATGAAAATGTAACAAAACGACATATCAACACTGCTGAAATAAAATATAATTTTTCAAATAAAGTAAATTTTCAAACTATCTCGCGCGCGACAAGAGTTGAACAGGCGGTAAACATTTATCGAGTTGCCAGATGCTTTCCTCCTACTTCGGATATTGCATGCATATTCGATATATTGGATATTGGATATCAATATGACAATTATAAGATAAAAAAAACATTTAGAAAATTATAAAACATACTGTTTACCTGTCGAAAAAATAATGTACAAGTTAGAAGAGCTAGCCGTCAGCGGCAGCCATTCCCCCCTTGCGTCACAGAAGTGGGCGGAGCTTAGCGGCCTGTCTCGCCTCCGATCGCGCGTTGTCGGACAATCTTTTCACGAATTTGAATCATGCAAAAACGCCGATTTTCAGCCTCGTTTCCATGCTGTGTTACATTCAACCAGATATCAATGAAAAGCTAGAGAGAGAGAGAGGGAAAGAGAGATGAGGAGATAATCTCTGGTGTAATTCCAAAATTGTATGTGACAACGTAAGATTCCCCCCCCCCTTCTTTCCTATACGAAATAAATAGCCGAAAAAGGAAGGAAAAACCGGCGGGAGTTCGAGTGGACGCGCTATGATATCCATTTGCCTGAGCCAAACTTTCATTACCTTTGCCAAACAAGTTTAAACGAGAGAGAGAGAAAGAGAGAGATAGATAAGATAGATAGATGATAGATACAGAGAGAGAGAAACGAAAACGAAATGGCACACGGACATTACACACAAACAAACCGATCGTGTCGGTTCTGTGTCTCTAGCAAATCTCGTCAGAAAAATTATATACATGTATAAATATGTAATTCTTATAATGACAAAAAAAAAAAAAAAAAAAAAAACGGAGAGAAAGAAAGAAAAAAAGGATAAGATTGGTGTCACAGGATCACTGAAGATTCACCGAACAGAATGAGAGGAATTGTAACCTCATTACATATTGTGATATGGCAATCGCGAATATAAAAATAAACCATGACTAATCCAATTGAAACGACTTAGAGAGTCCCCATCTCAGACCAAGCGCGCCGCGTACGAGACGCAAGGAATCGGGCCGCCCTTAAGGAGAGAGCAAGGGCGCACCGCTACGGCCAGAGGTAAGCCAAAAAGACACAGGTCAGGGAGGAGAGAAAAGTAGATCCCAAAATATAAAATAGGCCGAAGCCGATAACTGAGCAAGCACGCCGGGTACGTGACGTGCGTGCAGAGGCTGCCCGGAAAGAGCGGGCATAAGCTCAGCTGTATAGACAAAAGTAAGAAAAGAAATACAAGAAGTAGGACAAGGACAAAGAAGAAGACGGCCAAGGAACCGGCCAAGGAAAAGAAGACGGCCAAGGAACCGGCCATGCCTCTCATGATGAAACTAGTGATAATAGAAAATTCCTTGGAGGGGGGGCTTTTGGTGAGGCCTACCTCATCACCTATAATGACACTGTCGCAGTTTTGAAAGTTGCGATCAGTGAGGGCAGGTTCATGAAATTCGACAAGGAGTTTCAGATTCTGGGCCTGTTGAATGGTGCCGGTGGAGCCCCCCTCCCCTTGAGCTTTATCGAGAATCCCCTCTCCTTCATCATGACCTATAAAGGTCCGATTACGCTTCACGATGCACTTCATGACTGGACCTGGAGAGATGAGGACATTCTAGAAATATGCCTCAATGTCTGCAGGCGCGTGACGGAAGTCCACCGGAAAGGGATCGCGCACAATGACCTCAAAAAAGACAACGTCATTGTCACCCCGGACAACGACGTAAGTATAATCGACTATGGCAACGGTGCCAGATTAGGCGACTGCTTTTGTTATGCTGGTTCTGGTGGATCCGGAGGGTGCCGTTGGATAGCGCCCGAAATGTATGAGCGACACCCACTGACTGTCAAATCTGATGTGTATTCAGTGGGTGTCATCCTCTTTGACATGTACCAAAGGGCAAAATCCTTCCCCGAGTACCCACGAGTCATTGATGAGGCTCTTCATGAGGATCCGGATCGGCGCCCATCCTTGGAGACAGTCATGCAGTACTTATAAGATCCGTTAAAAGAATATAAGGAAAGAGAACGACCGAACGACGACCGAACCGCCCGCGACTGATCACATTGAATACGATAACGACCTCTTGGACTAATGATGAAAACGCAAAAGAAAATTTATTCGGCTCTCTTTGCTTTGTTGCGGTATAATGATATGGATGTATGCTGAATCTGTAATGTACAGTCATGTTTTGCGGATGAAACAAAATAGGGGAAATTTTCCCTGAAGCCTTCATGTGGGTTTATGGACATCCGATTTGATGAACAGAATTTAAACAAATATATGCAATATATGTACATATAACATCCACATCTCTCTCTCTCTCACACACACGCGCACAAATGTATACATATAACATACACATCTCTCTCTCACACACACACGCGCACACAATATACATATAACATACACATCTCTCTCTCACACACACACGCACACAAATGTATACATATAACATACACATCTCTCTCTCACACACACACACGCACACAATGTATATAACATAACATCTCTCTCACACACACACACACAAATGTATACATACATCTCTCTCTCACACACACACACGCACACAATACACATAACATCATCTCTCTCTCACACACACACACGCACACAATGTATACATATAACATACACATCTCTCTCTCACACACACACACGCACACAAATGTATACATATAACATACACATCTCTCTCTCACACACACACACGCACACAAATGTATACATATAACATACACATCTCTCTCTCTCACACACACACGCACACAAATGTATACATATAACATACACATCTCTCTCTCTCACACACACGCACACAAATGTATACATATAACATCCACATCAAACACACACACGCACACAAATGTATACATATAACATCCACATCTCTCTCTCTCACACACACATACACATATAACATACACATCTCTCTACACACACACACGCACACAAATACATATAACATACACATCTCTCTCTCACACACACACACGCACACAAATGTATACATATAACATCCACATCTCTCTCTCTCACACACACACGCACACAAATGTATACATATAACATACACATCTCTCTCTCACACACACACACGTGCGCACACAATGTATACATATAACATACACATCTCTCTCTCACACACACACGCACACAAATCATCATCACAATCTCTCTCTCTCACACACACTAGTGGGACACACACACACACATCTCTCTCTCTCACACACACACGCACACAAATGTATACATATAACATACACATCTCTCTCTCTCACACACACACGCACACAAATGTATACATATAACATACACATCTCTCTCTCTCACACACACACGCACACAAATTCTCTCTCTCTCTCTTTAGTGCAGAGATCACACAATATCTATCGACATAGATCTTGGCTCTCTGGCTCTCTCATCCACACACATAATCAAAGAATTTCATCGTAGTAAATCTGCATTGAAAATTATAATTAAATTATGTGATGTGATATAATTACAGAATTCGGTATTTCTTTGTTCATAATTTTTTCTAAGAAAAGCTAGTTTTTAGACGAAAGCATGAACTTCAAATGAAACAGTGTGGAATGAATGGATAAATAAATGGTTACACCCTTTCAATACGTTTATAAATTGTCACTGCTTTGAAAGATCGTTTTCTTTGTACTTTTACTAAAGAAAACGGAAGCATGTAGGTAGGACACATTTATTCTGATATCTTGCATAACCTTTCATCTGTTCTACCTTTTACATTCGCTGTCACGACTCCCCCCCCCCCTCGTTAGTCATCACTAACGTCAACCTTATCGGTATCAATATCATTGCTATATATTTTTTATCATTGTAGTATTTGTTTTTATCGCCAATAATAATTATAAAAACACATAACCTAATCCGAGAAAGGCTGCTTCCAATATCATTATTATACAAACGAAAATGAATAGGCTAATAAAGGATAATAGATTAATAAACAAATAAACCTGCAAAAAAAAAAAAAATTTTAACAAAACAAATGTGGTGTAACGGTAACACAGCCGCCACTAAATCGGGAATACCGAGTTCGAGTCCCGGCGAAGATATTTTATTTTATTTTATTTCTGTTGTATGCTTGTTAAGCTTATGCTTATGAAGACGATGATTGCCATCACGATATTATTGTCATTAAATCATATTACTGCTTTTGCTATTACTAATAATTAGAAACGAAAAAATAGGGGAAAGGGAAGAGAGAATGGTGTCAGGAATTCAAAGAGAGAGAGAGAGAGAGAGAGAGAGAGAGAGAGAGAGAGAGAGAGAGAGAGAGAGAGAGAGAGAGAGAGAGAGAGAGAGAGAGAGAGAGAGAGAGAGAGAGAGAGAGAGAGAGAGAGAGAGAGAGAGAGAGAGAAGAGAGAGAGAGAGAGAGAGAGAGAGAGAGAGAGAGAGAGAGAGAGAGAGAGAGAGAGAGAGAGAGAGAGAGAAACTCCGTGTGCGATTCCCGGCATTGACGAGTACTATGTTTTTTTCTTCTAGTTATTTCTAACAGCCATCCTTATTGAGATAACGCTGAGAGATTAATGAAAATGATACACTAACGGCAGTAGCAGTGATAATAATTCTAGGATTAATGACAGCAAGGATGGCAGTAACAAAGGTGATAATTATAAATACATTGACAACATGCTAACACAATAATATTTTTTTTTCGGGATCTCTTTCTTGTTTCTCTTCATGTTAATGACTGTAATACATAGAAAATACTAATACGCAATCATATTGATTCTAATCAAGATAATAATGTAAAGATAAGAGAGAAATTGAAAATACTGGTGTGTCTGGACCGCTGTGCTCCTGCGACGATCGACCGGCTTGAGGTGAGAGGAGTGGTATGGGGTCACCTAAATCCCCACCGAATTGTGGGAATGCGATGTGGGGGAAGGGGAAGAGGTTAGCATAGGAGTAGGGGTGAAGGNCACACACACACACACACACACACACACACACATATATATATATGTGATATAGTCTTTGTTAAATTGTAATCTGTAACATTTTTTTAATCTGGTCATATGGAATAGAGATAATTGGATAATACGAACAACGTAGAGGGAATAGGAAGTTAATAATAGAGGTAGTAGTAGTAGTAGTAGTAAGGGCTAATAAATAACAGTAATAATAATAATGATGATGATACAAATGATAGTAATAAAAATAATAATAATAATAATAATAATAATAATAATGATAATGAAAATAGTATTGATAATAATATTAACAAAAACAAGAAAAGAAAAGTTGATAATGACTGAAAATAACAATAATGATATTACTAATGATAACAATGATAATGATAATGATAAAAGTAATAAACGATAATAAAGTGATAGGCATTTATGATAATAATTACATTGAAATGGACGATAACGGTAATAGGAATATAGAGATGATGGCATTAATGGCATCGATGATGAAAAAATGATAATAAAAAATGTCGTAGATTTAAATAAAGGAGAATGATGATAACAAATCCAGCGATAATATTGTAAACTTTGCCACTGTATAAAAACTGTTCTGTCCTTCATGATGATAAAATAACTATGAATAATGATTATGGACGTAGTAATGATTTCAATGAATATGACAGTAATGATGATACTGTAAAGAACGATAGCAGTGGCATTGACTGTGATTAATTATACTTATAGCAACTGTAATACTATTAATAATGAAATTATGATAATGACAAAAGTGATAATCAGCAGTCAATCGCCACTGCTATCGTTCTTTACAGTAATCATCATTACTGGTTCATATTCATTGAAATCATTACTACGTCCATAATCATTATTCATAGTTATTTTATCATCATGAAGGACAGAACAGTTTTTATACAGTGGCAAAGTTTACAATATTATCGCTGGATTTGTTATCATCATTCTCCTTTATTTAAATCTACGACATTTTTATTATCATTTTCATCATCGATACCATTAATGCCATCATCTCTATTACCGTTCCTATTACTATTATTATCATTATAATTGTTATCGTCATAACATAACTGTCAATGTTATTCTAATTGTTTTTATTATCATAAATGCCATCACTTTTATTATCCTTATTACTTTTATCATTATCATTATCATTGTTATCATTAGTAATATCATTATTGTTATTTTCAGTCATTATCAACTTTTCTTTTCTTGTTTTTGTTAATATTATTATCAATACTATTTTCATTATCATTATTATTATTATTATTATTATTTTTATTACTATCATTTGTATCATCATCATTATTATTATTACTGTTATTTATTATTAGCCTTACTACTACTACTACTACTACCTCTATTATTAACTTCCTATTTCCCCTCTACGTTGTTCGTATTATCCAATTATCTCTATTCCATATGACCAGATTAAAAAAATGTTACAGATTACAATTTAACAAGACTTATCACATATATATATGTGTGTGTGTGTGTGTGTGTGTGTGTGTGTGTGTGTGTGTGTGTGTGTGTGTGTGTTTCATTAGATTAAAAAAAAAAAAAAAAAGCGTGTCTGGAGTGGTTTCGATCCACGGTCCTCCGGGTTATGAGCCCGGCGCGCTTCCACTGCGCTACCCTGCTGAAGAAAAAATGTTGAGGAAGTATAATTCAATTATAACATCCTGATTTTCAATATGTGTCATAACTGCAAAAACTATTATCTTAATCTTAATCATTTATGATACCATGTTTATCAACATTGATTATCATTGCTATGTTTCATGTTTAGAATGAATCTGCCTAAGATATGGTTATAAAAATCCGAATTACGAAAAGCAGTGAGAAAGAGAAAAAAATATTACAGAAAATGGCGCAAACAGAATAGAAAATAACAGAGAAAAAGAAAGAAATCATAATAATAATAATGATAATGATAATAATAATAATAATAATAATAATAATAATAATAATAATAATAAAACGTGCGCCTAAGAAACATACTACGGAATGTTTTCAACCCAT